CGTACTCATATATGTACACGTTTAGGCTGATAGATAAATACATAAATAGATGAATATGTTGGTGGATAGAGAGATAGATGGATAGAGAGATAGATGGATAGAGAGATAGATAGATGGATGGATAGATAGATAGATAGATGGATAGATAGATAAATAGACAGGCAGAGAGAGAGAGAGAGAGAGAGAGAGAGAGAGAGAGAGAGAGAGAGAGAGAGAGAGAGAGAGAGAGAGAGAGAGAGAGAGAGAGAGAGAGAGAGAGGCTGATGGACAGCCTGATGGACAGATAGATGGATGGATAGATAATTAGATAGATAGAATGATAAAGATAGATAGATAGAAAGATGGATAGGTAGATAGATAGATAGATGGGGTAAACGAGAGATAGACAGACAGACAGACTGATAAACAAAGGGACAGACAGATAGATAAATTGACAGACAGATAGATAAATAGATGGATAGGTAGAGTCAGACAGATAGATAGATATATATAGATAGATAAATGGATACATAAACTGATATTTGATAAACAAATATACAAACTGAAACTCAAGGGCGTTGATAATGCTTACCTTCCGGAAATGTTCAATGTCCGCACAGAAATGGCTTGTCTCCAGCAGGATACTCAGCATCACTACTCTGACTCCTGAGGGCGAGGAGTCCAAGACGATTCTTCTTTTTTTGTTTTGTTTTGTTTTGTTTTTTCAACTACATGGATTAGATGTGATCACGTCACGTTTTCCATTCACTGGAGCTACCTGCTTGACAATAGACATCATGTGTGGCGCCTTGTCTGTTTTGTTAGGAGGAAAAGACTACTGTGGGAGGGAAGCGAATCTCAAGCGAAAGGGCGACCAGGCTTTTCCCTGCGGCCCCTCCTCAGGGCACTCATGTCCGCGTGGTCAAAACATACGGGAAGGGGTACTCCTCATAAAGTCATGTTTTTCGGATGTTACAAATATAAAGGCGTCCTACTACTTATACCTGTATAGGCCAATCCCTCCCTCATCCGCGAGAGCCGATGACAGTAGATGACACAGCAGGAGCAGCCGTAGAGAAGAGGGCTAGTCCCCACAGACCTATCTCCCTTACTCCAACTTATGATAATGTTTCATTGTCTTAGTCACAACCTCAGCCCAGGAGGGCAAAAGACAAAACAGGAAGCTCGAATGATAGACCATCCTGTCGGCAATGAATCCGTCATCTTTGCAGCCAGCGAGATTTGGAGTAGTGGCATGTTAGAACCGCCATCACAGGAGACACCACTGATTTCATTCTAATAGGGCAGTGGCACCCAGTCTCAGCAGACTACAATATAACAAAAACGGCTTCTTTTTGCTAAGAATGCTCATATCCAAACGATTTTACGACCTTAACAGGTGACTTGATCTGATTTTTAGAGTAATATTCCTTTGTGTTGTCGAACCAGAAGCCCAAACAGCCTGATCAAGGCTTGCTGTTAAGATTCCTCTTCCCTGAGGTTCCCCGAGGCTGCCTAATGATTACAGGTGGCCAGTCTACGGTTGACAGACACTGGCTACTGCCTGTTTACTGAATACATACTAAACTTCTCATGGCACAGTTGAATCTTGGTCAGAACAGTCGTGACATGTTAAATTGGTTCCCGCGCTATACCAACAGTCATGGGAATAAATCTGCTGACCAACTGAAAAAGGAGAACAGTGGAATTGATCATAAGGGTCAACTCTTGTGCCCGAAATGGCCGTGAAACCAAATTAGAAAACTGGTGGTGTTTGTGATCAAGATTTTGGTTATGATGGCGGTCTCTGTGAGCAAGGCCTATACAAGTATTTATATACAAGGTCTGTATACTTATATCTATATACTTATATCGCCATTGTGTGGGAATGCCCGCATGTATGATCATCATCGGATAGAAAAATTAAGCCGATTTCCTATTGTTACATAGATACATATTCATGAATTCCACATACATTTACAGAATACACACACTTTATACTATATTTTTCTCTCTGTCTGTCTGTCTCACTCCGATTATAGAATTTCCGGTTTTCCTTCAGTTTAATGCGTGTCCTCCTAATGGTATTAGAATAATTTCATTCTATTTTGCGCAGTATAAACTTCTTTAGTATCTATTATATCATTAGCATCGCTCTATATTTCCCTTCATATTGACTTCAGTGTTATTCCTTGCTTCGAGCTTCTCATCAGTATTGGCTTGTACCGAGTTTGTAATTAATATTTCTTTGAATGTTACGAAGATTCTGTATCTTTTGTATTTAGAAAACACTGGTGTTTTTTTGTGTCATGAATGGAATGAGTCTACATTTCCAAGGTTTCCATTATTTCTGGTTAGTTTTATTTTCATGATTATAATACCTCATAACCGCACATGCAGAATCCTTTCCACTGGTTTTGTACATTTCCATTTTGTCATCGGATATTTAATTTCCACCAGTATTTTTTGTTCTATGGTGTCCTGTCATATGCTTTCATTCCTTAGGTATTATAGGGCGTCACAGAAATATATATAAAGGTGCAAAAAAGTACTTATTGTAGCTTATCAACTTCCTATATGCTGTTACCCTCTTGTTTCATCTTCTTGTTTGGGAATCTCTTGTTGTTTTTCAAGAAAGACGACGAATCTAAGGTCTTCTTATAACTGTATAATGTATTAGTCACTGCATATTTTACATACTATCCACTACTAAAGGTTTCCAATTTACAATAGCTTTTGTTGGTAATCCAAAGATTACCTGTCATTAAAATGGTAAGAAAAAACAATACACAAAATAAGTTTTTCTTGTCTGAAGTTCGATTGCATTTGCTGCATTCTGCAACCTAGGTTTTAAGGTTGAAAACTAAAACTTCCAATACTAAGTAAGAATTCTGATAGCAGAGAAGGAAACTGAGAGTGTTCAAATAATTTATCTTTTTATTAACAATCATTTTTAAAAAGACACTATATAAAGCAGATCTGGCCACTTGCCTACCAGACACCATGCGAAAAATGTCTTTGGAAGCACCATGACTACCACACAAGAGAATGAGATCTGGTACACCTGAGTGGCTATATGAGATTGTGTTTTGTGTGTGTGTGTGTGTATGTGTGTGAACACTTGTGTGTATGTGTGAGGTGCTGATCCAAAAAAATTATGCAACTTATACAGGGGATACAGGTACTTTTTTGTAAGGCCAAAAATTCCCTAGCTGAATATGTTGAATATGGACAATGAGATGAGCATACACACTTAGCATTGGCTTAAAATTATTCATAGTTTAACGGCAGTATCTAGGAAGAGGGTTATATACACTTTGCTGCAAGCAGGTTTGTTGTTATTGTCTGAAGATTTTATTCTCATATTAAATGTTCCCCAGAAGATCTATTACCACACACACAAAACAAAACTACCATTGTTTGTGCTGTACATGATACAATATCATAAGTGGGGGTGTTTTGCTTGCATGCTTCTGCGAGTGATTGCTATTTCTTGAAGGTTGATTTTAAGGGTGTTTTTTCTTTTGAATACAGAAATACAATAACAAAAATAAATGAATAATTTTGGCCAAAATGCAGGAAAACAAACACAGCTAATATAACAACAAGTATAGAAACCTTCTTAAAAAGTTCCCCCCGAATTTCAGAAACAAAAAACAAACCAAAAAAAAAGGAACGTAATTTCAATAATTTTTCCTTCTTGAAAAATTCTTTACGCACATGTGACCTTTGCAACATCATGAAGCTCCCCAGGAAAGCCTTACATCCTCCCAAATGGCACCTAAGGTCAGAAAACAAATACTAATGAGAAAAAAAAATGGATTGTATGTATATATGGCATTGTTTGTGACCCTCAAGAGGAATGATCAAGCTCAATGATGTGTGAACCTGCTAGCTGAGCTAAATACCTCCCCCTTTCATACACACTCTTTAGAAAGACCACTGGCATGACTCTGCATAATGCTGCAATACACTTGTGCAAAGCCAAGGTTGTGTTTGTTGCAGTCTATAAAAGAGAGGCATTTACATGGAAAAAATAATGAAAGTATACATAAATCAAAAGAGAATATATAACGATTTTCACCTGCGATATAATTTCTTGACGACTTGAAACAACCTCATTAATCTTCCTATTTACAAATCACATTCAACGGCTCAATGTCAAGTCATATACCATAGGCAACATTTTGCAATTTTCTTGAATGCTTCAACAAATCCTTAATTTTAAATATTTTGTTAATTTATCACATCTCAATCATATACAAAAAAAAATCATTTTATAATTTCAAAAGATCCACTGAAGACATTATCATAAAATATAGTGTACAAAAAAGCATAAAAGCATGCAATTAAAACAATAAAATGGAAGAAGAAAATAAACTGAAAGGTCACATACACAGCTTCTATAAAAACCTTGGCATTCATTGCAACCTTCCATCAAATGTCTCCATCAAGTACAATTCATACAAGTATAGTAATTATCACAACATCTATTCTAATCACAGCTTCGTGACCAAGGAAGTCTCGGAGACGTTCAGAGCCTTGTGCTGGTGAACACTCGACTCCTGAAGGCAGAGAGTTCATTTAACAACTTTGCTTCTCCTCCTCCTCCTTCTCCTCCTCCTTCTCCCTTTCCTTCCATTTCCTCATCTTGAGAAGCTTCAAAAATATACGTATAAAATAAAGTGTGACTTGTCTCTAAAAAGAAAGAGAGAGGCCAAGAGTGAGAAGTATAAATTACAAAAAGGAAGAAATTTATTGCTAAGTCTTCAACTTGTCCTTGAGTTTGCTCTTCAACCCTCCAACCTCCTTGGTTTTCTTGGCGACGTCCTTCTTTTCTTCCGTCATTTTCTTCACCTTCTCTTCTGCAGCCTTCATTCTGTAAACACATCCAAAAAAATGCGTTTCAGTAATCTATTACTTTTTCAAAAAAATTACTTTGTGGTCCTTAATGGTTTCAATTCTGTTTCGGACTGCATGTTCTGTTTGACTTATAGATAGAGATTATCAATGAAAAATGAGATTGTGTGGTTGCCCTCTTTATTTGTAAACTTTGCTATGCAGCTGAATAAAATTGGAATAAAATTTAGTTGTGAGATCCTGAGCCTTACAGTCCTAGCATTGTAAAGTGAACATACATCAAGTGAAACCATTCAATGAAAATTACCTCTGCTTGACAATCTTCTGTTGTTCTTTCTGCCAAATGTTCATGAAGTCATTGCAGAAAGGTGACCAGACACTGAAGAAATCATAGGGTGTGACTTCAGGTCCTTTTCCACTGAACTGGAAATACTTCATCACCATATCAAATCTACAAAAAAGAAAAGAAAAAAACTTTTAGATATTCAATCACGGGATGAACAACTACGTGACTTTATGCAAATAAGAATGAATATTACTAAAGCTCTAAAAATTTAATAAATATATAAAAAGCATAAAGAATATTTACCTCATGTTCAATGAATGTTTAACTACAATATATTTCTATACGGACATCAGTCCAACCCAAGATATTTTTAGTAAAAACGAAAAATATCAGCCATATACTTACTGGCTTTTACAGTCCTTTAAACTTTCACTCTCTGATTCTACTTCACTCTTAGCTGAAATAAAGACAAAAAAGAATTGTAGAGACAAGACAATAATTAAAAGCCATTATTTATATCACTTATTAACTATAGAATTGTATGTAGACCTACGCAATAAGGTACTGAATAATGTGGTCTACATATAGTTCATTCCATTCCCAAACTTAAAATGTTCTACTTTCACAGGAGAAAGTAGAGAGACAATGAACCCATCCCCAGAGTAAAAATGCCTATACCATGGAATCTAATAAAACATAATGCATAAGAAATGGAAAATATTTTCTTCTTTTAAGGTACCAATAATAGTGAATCATACACTGGATACACTAAATATAAATAAAAATATCTAAAAAACAAGATGACAATGCTCCAAAAACAAATCATGGTTAAAATAACTACACATAAAAAGTATAAAATGCCCCTGAAATGCTAACACACATATTATAAGAATAAAGTACATGCATACAGTAAACATATCACACACAAATAAAGAACTACAACACCAATGAAATGCCAACACTCCCTCCATCACCTTCACAACCAACACAAGCCATACCTTTAACAAAGAACTCCGTCATCCTGTCCTTAAATGGCTGCAAATGCTCCTCATCTGACTTTGCTATCACCTTTTCAGCTCGATTTTCACACACTGCAATGGTAATGATTCTAGATTATCCTCAAGTTATTGCTGTTATCATTATTAGCATACGAAGACTATTATCAGCCAGCGATGACAGATAATAACCTATCAATGTACGTTGATATATAACATGTCAACAACTTACATTAATAGTAGAAAGAATTTTGTAATCTGAGTATAACAGTGTTGATAATCTGATCAAGAAATACAGTAATAACTTGTGTCATTACCTTTTAGATTCTTTTCAATATCTTTCAAGTCGGATTCCAAGTCCTCGAATTTAAGGTTGGACACGCGCTCTACAACATAAGGATCTGGGATTGGCAGCTGAACCTTGTCAGTGCCTGCATCCTCCCCTTCATATTTCTGGAATCAAAAGCCATGTTCTCACTACAATAAGGTTTGGAAGAAGCTGTAAGAATTAAGATATGGTATCACGGATAAAGAGAATGTATTAGTAATAAGTAATCATCTATTGCCTGTTAGGATAATCATAAAGTGCAAGGAAGAAAGAAATAGGTAAGGAAAACAACAAAGCAACATCAAGAGAATTATTTTTTTCTTCAAAAGGAGAGGAAAGGAAAGGAAAAAAAAAAAGTTATGCTTCAAATATAGCCTAATCAAGATCGCTGGTGCATCTTCGGACTATGGCTTATTCTCATCATAAAATGAAGTTTTGCTTCAACAATTATGTATATATGAATATAATATATTATTAACATATATGCATATAATATAATATTAACATATATGCATATTATATATTAACATATATGCATATAATATATTAACATATATGCATTTAATATAATAATCACAAAGTAATATAGTTAAAGATAAACATATCATAAACCAGGGAGTCTAAAGCAATCTTCGCAATGTTTAAAAGAAACTATAAAATAAGCAGTAAAAAACAAATGAAACAAAAGGAAAAAGAAAAAAGCACAACACTCCCATACCTCAATATATTTAGTGACAACAAAGTGCAAGAGTGTGAAGCCCGAGTCCTTGCTCTTTACGTCCTTGATCTTTGGAAGGATCTCGAGACCAAATCCGTCTGCCTGGCCCCTAGTCCTGTTGCCGCCATTCATGTAATTGCCAAGGGCCAGGATCAGCCCAAATATTCTCTTGATGCTCTCACTTGACATGAGTACCTGTTTAGAGGGGAGACGGGGGTTTGATACAATAGCCTGACGTAGGTTTGCTAAAATAGACCGACTCTGAGCATTTTGGTATGACATGGATTATGAGTGTGGTTTCAAAGAAGAATTTAATATGTTACTGTTAGTGGAGTAAATATCTGTACCTTATTATATTCCTCATTACTATGAAATAACATTTTGTATCATTACACTTGCGTACAAAAAGATGAACTTGTTATAATTGTTAAAATGAATAATTCCATTTACATTTGTGATTTCAATGTTACTGAGATTTAATATGATAATTAATATGTATGGCAAATTCCAACTTATATTGCATACATCTATAGTAGACTGCAACATGTGTATTCTTCCATGTATGACGCCCAGCTCTTCGTTGAAAGTTGCTTGGAAGGTGAAGCATGCTGTTCGCTCGGCAAATTCATTTATTTTTGACAAGTCGAGGAGGAACCTGAAATAAACAGATATTATTATCTCAATTGTAGAAGGATATTATTCCTGTGCTGAGAAAGTTAAAGGTTAGAATAAATACACTAAACATGGCATGAAAGTTGTTGATGTTTAAACACTCTAAAATAATCCTGCTCTGTAAAACCTTTCATTTCTAACAAAAGAATGATGAATATCACCAGATAATAAAATATATCATAGTTGTGGGTTTCCTAACCATTTTACTGTTGTTGTCTTTTATATATATGTCTCATGTACTAAACAAATCAATCTACATAATATATCATACAGTTTAGAAAACAATATAGTATTAACACTAATAACAGTCTAAGAAACTCTTAGTTGGGAATTTTTGGAACTTGCTTTACTTTTTCTACCCCCTAAAAAATTAGGTTTCATCTCAATTTGAATATTTATAAAAAAAAGTTGCATGGTAAATGCAACTCTGGAATCCAGACTGATGAGATCTGTACATTTTTATAAGCCTTCTAATTATACAACCAATATTTAATCTGGTTAAAACCTTATCAAGTTTTTCAGTACAGATGCTTAAAAATTGTGTGACAAGAAAAGAAAAAAAAAAATCAAAGAAAATTGTAAATATTCTTAGTTCATTTTCTGCACCTCTTTTATTCATGAAACATCAATCATCTAATTATCATAGAAATTACATTAATTTCTCTTTCAAATGCTCTTTGATGAAGACAGGTATGCTAACAGGTTTCCCGAGATTAAAAAAAAACCTTATGGACAGGTTATGAAAAGCGACAACCCCTAACTAACTTTGACAACATGACTGTCACATAGCTATGACAACTGCTTGCCTTGGACCATTTGTACTAATGTCTTCTTATATGTAAAAATGTGTCCATATGGATGTATATATACACTTGTATACATATGTATATGTATACATGCATGTGCATATATATTTCCAAATGTGTATACATATATACACATAAATTATGACAAAATATTAGTATATGTAATTCTCCCCTCATATATATATTCAAAACTATTTAATAATATTTTTCAACAGCTCTTGCCTCCAGCCTCCATCAGGAACCCGCCAATGGTCGCCTTAACATGACTTGCAAAAACAGGGACTTACTGTTCAGGCTTGTCGAGGGGGACGTCCTGCATGGCTTCATTGGCTGCTTTTATCATGTTGATCTCTCCTTCGCTTCCTCTCTGAAAAAGGTATGATTTAATGGTTAATTTCAGGCTTTTGTTCTACATTAACTTTTTATTTTTATTCAACAAGGTCTATTTCCATATGATATTTCATTCAAATTTGATGTCCAATGCATAACCTATACAACTCTGAAGTACCAAGTTTTGTCTATCTATCTGTTTTGTTTCTCTTTTGTTCTGTTTCACAGGAATCAAAATTAAACAAAAAAAACAAAATGTTTCTAGTAATACATATGTTAATAATAAAGCTATTTATGGGAAACAAAATGAAAAAGTGCTAATCTGCTACAATGAAGTCAGTAAAATCAATAATGAAAATGTAGGTGTCTGAAATATAATACTAGTGATACTCACAACTTCGTATATTTGCTGAAGAACTTCAAGGTCTAGGACGGAGGTGTCAAAGTTGTAAACAGCTGCAAAAACAGCAAGATATTATCATTCTTACATTTATTTAAAAAATATATATACATACATAACCAACACACACACACACGTGATATATAAGCGCACATGTACACACACATTCTACAAATAAAAGAATGAACTAAAATGCAGGAGTAGGTCAAAGGACTTTTTGCTATACTGCTTCTTCAAGGCATAGGACAAGGCTGTCTGCATATTTGTGTTTTCTTTCTCTTCTCTTTGTTGTTTTATTTACAATTTGTTCAGTCTGAGATCTCTAACAATTTGTTCAGTCTGAGATCTCTACACACAAACAAATGGGTAAAAACACACACAAACATGTATATGGACATGTGAAAACAAACACGCACACACAAAACACACACATGCACGCACAAACACCTATATATAAATGGACAAAGGCAAATTACACACAAATATGTTACAATAAAAATGGCCTTGCATGTACACACCATACCACCCACTTTGTTCCTATGTTCACACTTGCTCACCGAGTCTCTACTCACCGTTCTCCACATCTGCGATATCTAGATGTTGACTTGTAATGAAGATTCCCACATTCTGTGAACGTTTGCTGTCCAGGACTTTGTTTACCTTGTAGAAAAAAGTATTGATTAATAATCGTCAACCTTGTTCTCCTCTTCTTATTTCTACACTTTGAACTGCAAACTATATTCACATGAATGGAAATTTGAACTTGTACACTAAATGAATGTACCCGGGCTCCCTAAACCACTAAGGTGGCCAATGTACAGGCTTGCTATATTTGAGCTGCCATCTAGAAGGTCATGCATTGCTAAATAACTGATTTTAGTCTGTCTCTATCCATCCCTGGTCTTCATGGCTTTATTTAGATTAGTATAATAAAAGTTTCCTGCCAACTTTAGAAAGCTGTATCTCTCTCCATAAGGATGCCAAGCACACAACTTTCCCACGCTGTTTAGTGTAGTGGTTGAAGACACAGAAGCATCATGACACCCTTGACGCCTGGGATCTGGCCAAAAACATTAACTACACATTTACACCTAGGTGCAAGATGTTAATATACCATCTTGTACACTACACATCTTTAACACCAAGATTGAGCTGACAATAAAATAAAATGCGGCCATGAAATGTAACACATAATCCATAGTAAATGCATACTATTTTGAGTTAAGATTGACTCCTCTTCAAGTTAGAAAATAAAAAACAAATTCATGTATCCTTCATTATGTTCCACCTCAAGAGGAGTCTACCTTTACTGAAAATGCTGTAGACTTTGCTTCCCTTTTCCAAAGTATTCTACCAATTCATTATCTGTATTTTTATTAATCATTCCATCTGATCATTCTACACATTACTATTTATATTTTGTAAACTGAATTTTTCAAACTCAACAAAAGCATCTAAAAAACAGTTAAGACTTTATACTTTCTTTTCTTCTTCCTTCCTCTATTTATTCCCTCCCTTCTTATTTTCTTCCCTCTCTCCTTCCTCCTATCTTCCTGTCCACCCTTCTCCTCTCTTTCTTTCCTCCATCCTTCCCTCCCTCCCTTCCTCTTAGCCTGACACACTACACATAAAATCCCTCACTTGCAAAAACCTGCAATCCCCTGCCTTACCTTGGCCTTAGCTGGCTTGGCCTCCTTCTTCTCCTTCTTCTTGGGCTGTGTGACCTGACGAGCAAAAAGGTCAACGAACTCCAGCTCATCAAATTCCTCTTCCTCAATTTCGTCCCAAAGTGGGATGTCGGCTTTTCTCCTGTGGTAATCAGGTGTTTATAAATCTTTCTAAGCACTGTATAATGTAGCAATTACTAATACACACTGAATTATGGATTCTTAAAATGTATTTTAAAGTTTTAAAAAGCAACATACATAGCTAGTGTGGGTAGTTTGAGAGAAAATAACATCAAGCAAATTCTTATTCAACAGTGAAGCAATTAGGCAAGAAACACAGAAAGAAAGAAAAGATGACTTCACTGAAGCAGTTAGGCAACCATGAAAAGGAGAAAAAAAGAGGATAACAATGAATAAAGGGACTGAAAATATACAGGGGGGCCTTTGTGATACATTGCTTCTTTAATCTCCATTTCATTCTTTTATCCTCAAAATATTGTGGAAAGTGACAAAAAACATTCCTTCACTGTTGGAACATTCCTATGCAGTAATTTGTTGCAGCCATGAAATGAAGGCAACAGAGCTCATGGCACTACTTGCAACCCAACACTCCCTGGCTCAGTCATGTGCCACAGGCTATACAATGAATTTTGATATGTTACTAGACTACATAATTCTGCACATCAAGGAAAGAATGAAGAGAAAAACAACTTTTAATTTATCATTCACAAATTGTCACGTAGTAAAATGAAATTCACGATTCCCTCCCATACAAATCATACTCTGCCATTAATGGTATGTGTATGATTCTATTTATTCATTTTTTTTCTGGATGTCATTTGTTTTACTTTATAAGTTTCAAATAGTATTTCTTGTAAGCTGTTAGAATGCATATATATTCGCTAACCATGCAGCAGATCACACTTTAACCTTATAATAATGTACTCATGGGGTATTGCATTATTAATTCCATTTCACTTTTCATTACAATTTTATGGTCTGTATTAAGGGCAATTAATGAAGATCACTGAGTAAAATAAATCACTAAACTTAATCAAATATCAAATAATACATTTAAAAATATAAAGTCAGAGAACTTTAAATAATATTGAAATAAAAGCACAATTGCAGCTTACTTTTTTGCTCTCTTCAAACTTCCTTCCTTTTTATCACTCTTCTCCTTGGTTTCTTCGTCTTCCTTCACTTCTCCTGCTTCCTTCTCTCCTTCTTCCTTATCCTTATCCTTATCCTTATCCTTATCATCATTATCCTTATCTTTATCCTTCTCCTTCTCCTCCTCCTCCTCCTTTTCCTTCTCTTCCCCTTCTGCTTTCTCTTCTTTGGTTTCATTTTTACTGTCGACCTCATCCTCTTCCTCTGGCTCTGGTTTGGGGGGTTTGGGCGTCTTCAGCTGAATTCTCGTCCAGTAAAGAGGCTTCATGGCCATCTTTGGGTTGACTGGAGCCTTCCGAAGAACTGTGATTACGAAAGGTTTAACAAAGACGAAACAGTGGGTTATACATGGTGTGATCTATTGAATTTCATTATTACTTTTGAAATTGTTACTGTCATATCTTAATGAGCAATTGAATGGGCATGCAATGACATTTTCAGATAGTTTTTATATTAAGCACAAACAAAATTCCTTTATATCATACCTAAACAGACACTTTTTTTTTTTTTTTTTTTTTTTTTTAATTACATCTACCCTCCCCTCAGTTGTATATAACATAGCTAATCCTACGTTCTCACAACCATGTGTCAGTAATCCATGGCACTACCAGAAAAGATATGATAACAATTCACCTGTTTTTACCATCCTAAATTATAAATCAAAACCTGCATCATGCTTTTGCCTCATTCATTTTAACTATTTGGGTTTTCCTTCTCTACCTGACAAGAAGTATGAAAATAAAGAACTTTCATATAAAACCTTTAAGGAAAGGTACAGAACCCAAGTAAAATTACAGTAAGCACCTAACCTGCAGACTTTCCTTTCCATTTTTATCCTAATTCTATCCTTATTATTACAAGACAAAAATGAATCACAGCCAACTATAATATGGCTTCACTAACCCCATAACATTTCAGTACACTACAAATCCTTTATAATTATGGCTATGTTCATTTCATCTTCAATAAATATTACAGTCTTCCTGTCTGCATACATAGAAACAGAAATTATATCTTACAAACAGAAAAAAATGACTTTGGTAATAATTTAGTCCTTTTTTTACATTTCAATTGTTTGATTTAGCATTTTTTTATTTACTTCCTCATTTGCAAGTATCATGAACAACACAATGTCAATTGTGCCTCTTTTCAAACACTCATACCATCAAAAAATTATATTAGTCTTTTGACCCATTTGGTCTTCAGACAACATATACATTTAAAAAAAAACCTTCTTGTGAAATGAGATCCATAAGAAATTCATAATTAAGGCTGGAGTGGAAAATGAAGATGTTGAATGTATGTATGTGGCACAGAGATACCAAAGGACAGGAGCATAAGACTACCCAGACACGGACAGACACTAAGGAAGCAATTAAGCTACATGGAGCTTTTTATGTGGTTTCCATCTTGATAAATCTGCTGCTATGACTATAAGACTAAGAAGTAAGAAGGCACTGATTTATTTGATCAATTTGATCTGTAGGATAGCTAGCATATTAAGCTTATTTACATATATTTCCTTGTATATCGTATATATGTATATGCAGACTTATATGCATATGCTTATATAGACACACTGTATAAATACTATATGTATAAACTGCATCATAAAAATGATTCTGCACTTAAAATCTCATTGGCAATAATCTATCAAGCCTAAATATTAGAGCAATAGTATCTACTAATGAATTAGTTTTAAAGCAGACTAACTTGCTAGCAAACAGGAGGCACCTTCAGTGAATACTTGTATAGGCCCTACCAATCGTGCAATAAAAATGGTTCATTTATTCCTTGCAACAAAGGTGTATCCGATTCAGAAAACTATTGTAGATGAATTTAATTATCTATATCAATGATGAGATATTATATATAAATAAATAAAAGAGTAAAAATATAATGTCAATGAAAACATTCCCCAAAATGAATATAACCCTTCATTATCTCATTCTGAATTTAATATCTATCAAAAACCAATAAAACAAAGAACAAAATTAATAATGATAATTTTTTAAAAATCCCTTCAAATACAATGAACCCTAAAATGAAATGATTTATAATATCAAGACAATGTGCTGACTTACAAAGATCTGCAGACATATACACATACAGAGACACACACACAAAAGGCATGTGTGAATAAAACCTGCTGGTGAACAAAACCCTAACACAACAGTATTTGCTCTTATTGCGTACATTTATACTGTTTGTGTGCAGAACACTTTTTTCTACCAGGTGACATGACCGTGACCCGTACTGACCTGGCACAGCTTGAGAGGTCAGCAGCAACGAGACAGAGGATCCGGGTGCCGACACCAGAGGGGAGCACGGTACAGGTGTGGCCAAGGACACACAAGCACACACAGGCAGGAGCAAGCAAACGAGAAAGGACTAGGTGAGTGCGCTATGTCATGGGGCACTAAACAGGCTGCTTGCATATTCCCTCACGAGGTTTAGGCCTTGTTATTGCTCTTGGGCGAATGGACATTTTATGACTGTTGTAATATACATATATTCACAGACTAGTAAAACATGACTTCAATTCACATATGAGAATGTAATCCTTATAGATACGGTAAATTTATGAAAACTATTTGAGATACATTTCCAAAATACTTAAATAACGGTTGCTTAAAAACTAGTGACAAATCTATCACAAGCAAATCAAGCAAATAACTGGATCTAAAGCTCTCAAAAACTAACAAAAAAAATGATAATGAAAATATATCAATGCATAAACATCGGTGTAGGAATATGCTTCATAGTAAAGGATAGGAACTATTGGATGATTGTATTTTTTTTTTTTTTTTTTTTTTTTTTTGAGAATAATGTTCTTCTTTAGTCTTGTGATGAGATTGACAAAGCTGAGACAAAAGTTGAATCAAATGCCAAATTTCTGAAGTTTTATCAATAGAATTATCATAAAAAAAATGTTATTTATTTCCCTTGTGAGGCTCAGACTTCACCAATTAGATTAATAATAATGTACAGTGGTGCAGATGATTGCATCTACATCAGCAATACAGCAATGGTGCCAAATAAAGGAATAATTAATCTACATATATCTGTTACATCAATGACTTATTAAAAATGCTCAAAGAAAATGCCTACTTTAGATTTTTAAACATTATCTTGAAGTTACACATCATGAGCGTCACTTAGAAATAGAAATTTCTCATCAATGAAAAAAAAGAGGAAAAAAATCATGCCGTAAAGAAACCTCGTGTGATCCCTGTCTTTTGTAGATACTTAGGAATGTAGACTAGATAAATAAATGAGAGGAATCACCAAGAAAATAATCCCAGAGAGCATCTCATCACATTTTTTTTTTTTTTTTTTTTGTGATGTCAAACTTTTTCTGTACTTATGGTGCTATAATAAAAAAAAAGGAAAATACAGTGGCTCTAAGGTATTCACTATGGAGATGTTAAATTGCAGTTGCTATTGTAAAATTATGATGACTAGTCTAACTAAAACAGATTTCATGGGCTGTTACTAGTACACTGGTTATACAGCAATGCTACTTCTAAGTACAAGATAATATCTCATTTATTCACACACAGCTGTATAAAGCAGCACCATTATACCCTTACATCATTTACAGACAAAAATACAAACATATACAAGTATTATATTCTTTCAAAGCCTATAACTTACTAGCCTAGATAAAACACACACTTACCATATTGATATCATAAATACATATGAAAGAGCCTGACACTCATAAACATTATCTTGAAGTTACACATCGTGAGCGTCACTTAGAAATAGAAATTTCTCATCAATGAAAAAAAAGAGGAAAAAAATCATGCCGTAAAGAAACCTCGTGTGATCCCTGTCTTTTGTAGATACTTAGGAATGTAGACTAGATAAATAAATGAGAGGAATCACCAAGAAAATAATCCCAGAGAGCATCTCATCACATTTTTTTTTTTTTTTTTTTTTTGATGTCAAACTTTTTCTGTACTTATGGTGCTATAATAAAAAAAAAGGAAAATACAGTGGCTCTAAGGTATTCACTATGGAGATGTTAAATTGCAGTTGCTATTGTAAAATTATGATGACTAGTCTAACTAAAACAGATTTCATGGGCTGTTACTAGTACACTGGTTATACAGCAATGCTACTTCTAAGTACAAGATAATATCTCATTTATTCACACACAGCTGTATAAAGCAGCACCATTATACCCTTACATCATTTACAGACAAAAATACAAACATATACAAGTATTATATTCTTTCAAAGCCTATAACTTACTAGCCTAGATAAAACACACACTTACCATATTGATATCATAAATACATATGAAGAGCCTGACACTCATTAAGAAAAAAAAAAATGCACAGTATAAAATATCATGGATAAAATCAAAAGTGTACAAACAATACATAACATTTTATAATCATTCATCATCATACATTGCCTCATCTCATGCAAGAGAGGCAAGACATTCAACTTGGTTGGCTCGCTTATTACAACAACCTTTGCCGCCACCAAAGAACTCGATCCCTAAAGGAAACATGCACAAGGTCACCTTATTCTAACCCCTATGTTACGCATGCATTTCCCATGCAAGTCCAAGTGTAGCCTATAAAAGTTAAAAGTGTAAACAGCTATATCAAAGGTGTCTCCATGCACCTATATTGAAAACTCCCAAATACTAAAACCATCTAAACTTGACAGCTATGGAAGGGAAAAGAAAAGAAAACAAAAAGGATAGAGAAGAAATTAAGTAATAAAAACTGAGTAGAAAATAGAAACAAAAGACTGGTAATGTCACATGATGACTCAGAAATCCTTCACATCAGAAATAAACCATAATATATATATATGTATGTTTGAAATGAAAAATATTAATGTTCAGTGCCTGTGTAAATCAGAGGACAGGAAGCACAAATAACCAAATACATAGGAATGTCTAAGAATTATCATAATTTCCAAGTTCATCTCCAATTTAGACAAGTTTAAAAAATAAACCCAAATTTAGTAAAAAAACACAAAAAAAGAAAGACACAATAAGAAAATATCTTTTTCACACTGTAATACAAACAAGTTAATGGATTTAGGATAGATAATAAAAGAAAGAAAAAAAAATCCATATCTGATGCATAAAATACCAACTGGTATAACTGAGGACACTTTTGCCTTAATACTTTTGGCAACTGAAATCTAATGCACAAAACTTAAAATGTTAATTTTGCTGCTCTAGAACTGCTCGAAAGACTTGCCGTGCACATAACAAAAAACAAAAACACAGACAAGTGTCCGCCGTGAGCGAGACGA